AATAAGTCACTGCATCGATAAAGCACTGGCTTTATAGTTTACAACTTTAAGTGCTTTATATTGATCACAATCACCACAATCTTACTCATTTATAATCTAATATAGAACGTTTATAAATTGGGTAATTAACAAATAAATGGCATGAAGTTTTTCTAAGTTAAGCCAAAATTTGTAGTCAGTAAGTAAGTTTCATTAAATTAAATATTTAAAACACACTTGACAACAGCGCGTCGGTCTTTCATCACTCTTATCGAACAGGCAATCGATCTCAAACGGTAACAGTGTTTTCTATAAGCTTAGACAGTCTGCTTAAAATACTTATTGCTCTTAAATCTGACAACTGTTGAGGATATAGATTCAGGCATCGGTGAAATATTCGGATTTTTCCAGACAGAAGGGAATGTTGATGTTATTATTATCGAATTGATAATGCTTATTAAGAAAGGCAAAATTAACGGACAACATAGATTGATGAGCGATTTAGATGTCATCAGAGCCCGGAGATGTGTTTCTTATAGTCTTGAGTGTATTCAACGCTGTTAACTCATCGATTAGATTGAAATGGAATTGCACAAATTCTATTTAGTATATAGAAGTCATTCGTGAAGTAATTACAACTTTTTGGAATTCAATTAAGGAAATAATTATTAATTTGATCAGGTTCTTTGAATATGCCCTCTGCATGTTGTTTAGCATTGGAATTAATATTTTAGTTTTCAGCTCTCTCCACAAGTTTTTACTATTTTTGTTGAAAGAAAGGTTATCGAAATATCATCTTTTTTGTTAAGCAATTTTATGATTGACTACATTTTGAAATCTTTTATATTTCTTGACATTTTTCTCTGAATGCCTTTTCCTAACTACAATACTGGCTCTATCCCTATCGGCCGTAGCTTTCTTGCTATTACTATTTATCCATGGTGCTTTTCTTCTTGTAATTTTAGCAGATCTCAACGGAATGTGTTTGTTAAATACATTTAAAATGATTCTATTGAATTTTTTTATTCAAATCCACATTATAAGTACCGAATATTTCCTCAAGCTGTGAGTTTGTCAGGTCATTTCTGAAAGCACATTCATCGAATTTACTAAAATCACGATAAGTAAAAAAGTACTGAAGTACTGAAGTAACAAAAGATCGGCTATTACAAATAAGTGCATCTATTAATGATTCAGACTGAGGAGTTATATGTGTAGGTTCAGTGAGCATTTGGTTCACTTCTAGCGAGGGTAACTAAAAACTGTTAGTAGATTCACGGCTAGGTATGTTAAAAATTAATCACATTCTTCTTTTTTGAATTACGGATATCCTGTTGACAATACGAACTCCTCCTCAAAGAATAAGTGCCCTCCTGCGGTAGCCCTTAAAATCTCTGGTAAATGAGGTATGTATAGAATTGTCTAGCTACTAACACTATATACCACTCCAGTCGATTTGATGAGATCTAAATATATTCATTGTATGTTTTAACCTATACGTGAACCAACGATCAAACTGCCAAAAAAACCGATGCAGCGCGAAGCAGATTTCGCCTACGGACTGCTCTATTTCAAAGCGGAGTAAGGCGCTAATGTTCTTGGTTACGTTTTTTTTTTCATTTCGCTTGCATCAAATTTAAGATAACTTCTGAAACTTATCCTGTGGTTTTCCCCATATTTGTCTGGCCTATCAGAACTAATTTCTTCTTTATTGAAGGACGTGTTGTTCCCAAGGGCGACCTTCTTTAAGTACAATTGAAGTTTATTGAAACATCGTTCAATAAGGCCTCGTCTCGCAAATAGGATATGTGTAGTTCCCCATTTGCCAACCTCTAAGCACTCAGTCATTTCAAATCCAAGTTGTTGCAATAACTGGTTAATAAGTAGACAGGGATGGAACTCAGAGGTAAGTTTGTTTGGTTCATGTAATTTTAAGTATATGTCGATTTGATTGGCTAGACCAGGGTTCCCGAACCTTTTTTTTGTCAAGGCTTCCCGGAATATATATTAAATTTTCATGCCCTCCTTTACTTTTTCACTAAATACAAAAAACGCACATTATATAGGTACAAAGACTTTTATTTTAATTCTAATAAACTTTAAAAGTTTAAATAAACTAATAAATGATTTTTATCGAAAAACCTGAATAAAATAAGAGTAGGTACTAATGAGACACTTGAGATTTCATGTTCTGTACCGATTGGTTGATTCTAGGTTCTGTTTTTTCCAGAGCTATCGTCAGGTCACTATCGACATCAAAACGATTTCGCTGTTTAGTTTTGATTAAAACTAGAGCAGAAAAGCCTATACCATCCTTATAGCCGAGTCCACAGTCTGGCGTAATTTCTGTGCCAATGTTTTGGAAGCCAAAGCTTTCCGATGAATAACACAATGTGTACTAACCATTGCGGCATTTTTTTCCTTGAGCTTTTTAGCTAAGCGCGATCGTACACCTATCATTGCAGGTGCGCCATCTGTGCAAAGTCCAATGAATTTCTTCCAATCCAAATCATTTTTTTCAACAAAATTAGATATGGAATTAAATATACTAAGTGACATATAAATCCGAACACCCAGTTTAAATGGCTTTATTTTAATACAAGTTGGTGAATGTATTTATCTTACTGTAAATAACAAGTGAAAAATTTTTCAGCCTTATCAGTTGAACATTCCGGTTTGTATACTGCTTTTTTTTAATTCACTAACGCTCTAAAAATGAATATTTCAGCCGCAGTAAAGAAACAACGTCGGCGGATTTTGGTTCTTGACATCCTTTACGATCGGTTACGATGCCTAGAGTACGGAGACCTGTACGATTTCGTCAACTTAGTGAGTTTGATAGGGGCCGTATAGTGGGACTTCGGGAAGTTGGACTTTCTTTTCGGGCAATTGCAGTTAGAGTGCAAAGAAGTGTAGACACTGTGGTTAGGTGTTGTCAGGCATGGCTTCGAGAAGGCCGTACGCAAAGAGCAAGGGGCACTGGACGCCGCCGTAGAACAACAGACCGTGAAGATCGCCGCCTATTATTTATGAAACACTTTTAATTAATAGAACCCTTCCTGGATTCTCAATTTGTCGGTGTCGGCAGAGGGTTTTTATTGGGGCATTTACAAATGAGGAGATGGTGATTTTGAGGAAGATATTAGCGTAAAAGACTGTACGTGTTACGGTATGAATGATGCGTCGGTAACAGGAAACATAACTCACCATAAGGAGTACGAATGGGCACTACACAGGGTGTTCGGAAAATAGACGGAGATATCTTAGAGGGTGGTTCCTTGTTAAAATATATGAAAAAAGTTTTTATAAACATGGAATCGGAAATGCAGAGTGTTCAAGATTCAGGGTGATAAATCTAAATGATTTTTTTATTAATTTACTAAGTGACATATAAATCCGAACACCCAGTTTAAATGGTTTTATTTTAATTAAAGTTGGTGAATGTATTTATCTTACTGTAAATAACAAGTGAAAAAATTTAATAAATTAGTGTAGTGGGACTTCGGGAAGCTGGACTTTCTTTTCGGGCAATTGCAGTTAGAGTGCAAAGAAGTGTAGACACTGTGGTTAGGTGTTGTCAGGCATGGCTTCGAGAAGGCCGTACGCAAAGAGCAAGGGGCACTGGATGCCGCCGTAGAACAACAGACCGTGAAGATCGCCGCCTAAGATTATTGGCCTTAAGGGACCGTTTCTCCACTACCAGGTCCATTGCAAATGAATGGTTTGTAGAACACGGAAGACCTATTGGCATGCGAAGTGTTTACCGACGAATGAGAAGTTTTGGCTTGTTTTCATACCGGCCACAGTGGGTCCTCCATTTAACTCGAGAACACCGACGTAATCGCGTTGAGTGGTGCAGACAACGGTCACTCTGGGATCAGGAATGGAACAGTATTGTCTTTAGTGACAAGTCTCGATTTTATTTAGGCATGCACGATGGTCGACCCAGGGTTAGAAGGCGACGTGGTGACAGGAGGAATCCACAGTTTTTTGTTGAAAGACATGTTCATTACACTGTTGGAGTTATGGTTTGGGGTGCTATAGCTCATGGTTCCAGATCACCTTTAATCTTCATCAGAGGTAACATGAACGCGCAGCGTTATATCCACGAAGTTCTAGAACCCCATCTTTTACCCTGTCTTGACACCTTGGCAGATCCAACTTTCCAACAAGATAATGCCCGACCACATGTTGCAAGAGTCACAATAGACTTCTTTCAACATAATGATGTCACATTGTTACCATGGCCACCAAGATCTCCCGACTTATCCCCAATTGAGCACGTGTGGGATATGATGGGTAGGAGATTGCTCAATTTGCAACGTCCACCTCAGACTCTAGAAGCACTTCGAGAGGAGTTGGTGGTTGCCTGGAATGAGATACCACAGGAGGACATTGACCACTTGATCAGAAGCATGCCTAGGCGCGTTGGAGAATGCGTAGCACATCAGGGTGCATCCACACATTATTAAAGGTCAAAAGGCTTTAAAGCAGTGCAATCATTTTGAAATTTTTATCATTTACTTATTATGCTTCATTAAGTACTTATGCAAAATTTTATTAAAATAAAACCATTTAAACTGGGTGTTCGGATTTATATGTCACTTAGTATATATCTTCAGGTGTAGTACCTGCTGTCAAAGATTGGCAGTACAAAATCGCTTCTTGAATGATATCTCCGAAGATGTAACGAACATAAACTATTAACAATTAACGTTGTCGGTAGATTCATCGCAACTAATGGCAAAAATGTCGATAATTTTACTTTGTTAATTTTTTGTGACTTTATGTCTGCTTCAATGTCATCGATTCTACGCTTGACTGTGTTATTTGAAAGAGAAATAGTCTTCATTTTTTGCTCTGCATCTTCTCCTAAAATTATCTGCGTGGCTTTTAGGACGTCGTTTTATTAATTCTCCAACGACAGTATGAGGTTTGCTCTGCTAACATAAAAGCTATTTCAAATGAAGCTTCGAGATGCTGCGATACACCTGTATGATAACTTCCCGATTTATATAGTCTCATCCGCTTGAGTGATTCTGCTTTAGAAGAAACGACTCTTTCGTCTTCAAAACCAGAGTAGGATGCTGTTGCTTCAAATGCCAAAAGGCGATTGGCATCATGCTATCATTGCTTAAAACTTTCATACATATCACACACTGAGGCAATTGTAACTCGTCTTTTTCTATGAAGGCAAATCCAAACTTACCGTAATCTTCGGAAAACTTTCTTTTTTTCGCTGCCATTTTGCACCTATAACAATAAAACAAATAAGTAATAAATAAATAAGCGGAATACCTACATGTTATTACTAATTATGTGCCCATCGTTTTATCTTAATAACGTAATGTATTCAACGGTATATTGGCCACCGGGAGATTTATATTTTTGTAGGCAGATTGAGATTATAATAGTAATTTTAAATACATCTGGTATCAATATTAGGTACTTAAAGTTCGTCGTTTCAAAATTATTTCACCACGTTTGTCTGATTGTGATGTGGTAAAAAGGTCTCAATGGCCGATCGATGAACGCATCTCCACTAAACCAACAATTTAGTAAATTAAATGAAAATGGTAACTGAAGTTTCTAAATACACAAACTTACCGTTTAACAGTGAGACACAATAATTTGACACACTCAAACAGATTTCTCAACAAAACGTACATTGAAACGTCAAATTTTTCGCAAGTTTGTGGGAATGAATGTCACAGATGCTCATCCACGTCTGGTATTTACACAATTTGTTTTCTAAGTAATTAATGTTAAGCGGAGCGCGGCAGGATTTCATGTTGAGACTTGTCGAAACTTGTATAAACTGCGATTGACGACGCCGGGTCTTGAAACAGCGGTTGGCACAATAAGTGAATATGATATTTAATTTCTAATTTTATGCGTGTAGATTAAACATTACATTGTAATGTTATTTGTTAATGTTGTTTGCTTAATTTTTTCTGATGGGCTAGACAACCCCCGGGGATTAACATACTACATTTCAGATACTTCACAGTCAGAAGTTCAGACCAGCCGTCACTGACCTGCATCGCACTCCAAACGTTCTCCTTTCCTTCAGGAGGGCGGCAACTGCGAGCACTCAACGTCCTCTGTTTCTCACTAAGCAAGCGACTAATTGTTTGTTTTGGCCGTGTGTGAGACAATACGCTGCACAAAAATGCATGTCGTCTGGATTTCCAATAGAAAGGGATGCATGAGAGGGATTCAACCCTTTTCAGCCTGGGGCGATGAGCATGTATTCATGACGTACGGTGTTAGATCCTTTTTCAGTACTGGAAAACGATAGGCCAGGTAGATTAGGATTAACGAGACTGTCGCTCGGCCGGTACGAGCCCCTTCCCACTTCAGTTGGTCCACTTCAAGATTTGTACCAAAATATGCCTGTATAAACTTAACATGACGAAACTATTTACTTCTAAAACAATTTATTTTCTCAAAAACATTTTAGATACAATCTAGTCATGAAAAATACATATTTGAAATCACTTAGACCTATAACTAATAGAACATCTGAACAAATAAACAATGTTCGAATAAATGCGCGAAGTTAACAAAGCAACAATTGAAAGATTACCATTGGGTAACATCACCTTTATTTTTTATTGCGGCTGAAATTCTTTGGGGCATAGTGTTAACCAAGTTTTGTCAAAAATTTGGTGTAAAACAATGCCATATTTCTTGAAGCTTTTTTCTCAATTCGGTGATTGTACGAGATTGTCGTAGAACCTTTTTCACCTCGTGCCACAAAGTTTCAATAGGTGACGGATCTGGACTGCTAGAAACCCATTCTAAAAGTGGTACATTGTTTTTCTCCATTAATTTTATAGCCTTTTTTGAGGTATGTCACGCTGCACCATCTTACTGGAACACAAAATCTTGGCTGGATGTCAAACATTCTTTCATCAATGGTAAAAGCGATTCTTCTCAAATTGCCAAATATTTGTTTGTATGCACATTTCCATCAATAAAATGAAGTTTTCCTACTCCTTTTGATGACATACTGCTCCAGACCATAATGGATGCTGGAAATTTCACTTTTCTCTTCAGATAGTCAACATGGAATGCTTCATTTTGTTTGCGAATAACTCTACTGCGACTGTCACCAACACACAACTTTGAATCGGGCCTCATCACTCCATTGTATTGCACATCATTGTTGAGGTGTCCATTGTCTATGTTCTTTAGTCCATCTAAGTCGATTTTTCTGTTGAAGTGGAGTTAATAGTGGCTTTTCTTTGGCCTATAAACAAGTTGTGCAACTTTAGGGTTTTTACTTTTTTTTATAAGAACACTTACCTCGCAAGTGCTAAATCCCAGTTTGTGGGGCTCTCTATGAGTTGTGGACCCCGAAATTCTCCTTCCAACAGCATCACTCCACAGAGCACCTAATTGTAAATAATTGGCACGCCTGTTTTTCACGATTATTCTTCTTAATGCTCCTGAGTCTTATACCTCTTATGCCTTGAAAAAGCTTTTTTCTTAAGCTGTTTCATCAATTTTAAGTCGTCTGTCCACCAGGGAACTGGTGTCTTAGTGATTCTAGCAGTTTTATACGGAGCATGCCAGTCAAAGGCGTTAGAGATATTAATATCCCAAAATGAAATAATGTCATCAATATTTTGCATATGATAAATTGCTTGCCAGTTTATCTACCGTAGGTCATTAACAAAATCATCGTAATCAAATTGAGACCAGTATCGGCATCTTCTAAAAATAAGAACGGACCTATCAGCAACGAAAATCGTATTACATTCAACTAAAGAATGATCGGAAATGTCATCCATGTTAGTAACAGAATGAGATGCAATAATGTTAACGTTTGAACTAATAATTAAATCTAGTATACTACCACTGGCTGGACGAGTGCATGAATGTATAATCTGAGACAGTTCATATTCATCTAAAAATTCAACAAGTTGAGCGGATATATTGCTGGCTTTGCTAAGGTCAATATTAAGATCGCCACCGAAAAGTGTTTCATCAAATTCTGACTTGACAAAGGTAATCGCATTTTCATGCTCGTTGAAAAAGTTATTGACATTAGAATTAGAAGGACGATATAATGTGCCCAAACAAACCGATTTATTACTAATTTTTAGTTTTATACGCCCACAAAGCCATTCATTTTTTTTGATATCCATACATCCATAAAGTTGAATATTTTTCGTTGTTCAGGAACTGAACAAACATCCACACTATATTCACAGCGATTGAGAAATTCCCAAATACATGTCTTAAAGCTACCAACAAACCTAAAACCAGCAACAAGAAACTACATACTTGCCATATTTTTCTTTTTTCACAAGTATACATTATAGGTTATATAACTAGACATTATTTGAATAACAGCTGATTCGTGGAATTTTTCCCAAAAACCTTGCACAACACTTGAAAAAATGCAAATGAAAATTTAAAATTATTTCCATGACGCCGCAAAATATCTCCGTCGATACATCGGGTTATACATCTTGACAGTAGGCATGTTCGATATGATCCTTTATTTAGAAGTATCATCACATTTCACGAGCATCGTCATCTTTTGATCCGGACTGTGTCAGAAAGAGTGACTAACTTCAGATTACTTTTCTTCTTTGTTTCCTTTTGCTGGATATCGATAATTTTATTCCAACATTTTAGAGTATCGATACTTCCTAAAACGATAAGAATCAATACATAACGATACTTTTCGTGGATCTAAACATCCATATTCTTGACAGCTTGTCGTTCTTGTCAACTGGGTGCGGTGTTGCCTTTACTATCTTACATTTTGCTAAAATCTTATGACAAATAAAAGCTTCAAATGAAATATTGACGAATATCAACGGATATGCATAGAATTTAGAATATAGATTCATATTGCAAATTTCAGATTGTCTAAGCATGGACTTGAACCGGATTTTTCGGTATTTTTACCGAAAAGAGAATATTTACCGATAACATTATTCTCCACGATTTTTCAAAATAATTTAAATATTTCTATACTTGCCGAGAAAGAGCTGAAACCAAAAATAAAGCTTACAGTTAATTTGATGTAGTGTTCATAGATTTATGCGCCATATCAATCATCCTAATGCTAAAGCACAAAGACATAATATTACATCTATAATGTACCCTTATTTATAAGGCAACCACTTTTTCACGACTATTCAACATTTCAATACAAATCACTGATATTCAGAGATCTTTGACAGCTTCTATCAAATTGCATTTCGATAAGCTATTTTGTCATTGGTCCAAGAGACCGTCACATATTAATGTTGGTGAAATTGGGCCTAAGACCATCATATCTGTGATGTGATAGTCTTGCTCTCTTAATACTCGTATAAGTGTTACAATAAAGGATAATAGTATCTTCACCGCAAAACTATATGATGTTGATTGAACTTTGAGTTAGGACAGTTTTGCTCACACACCCAGTAGCCATAAAATGTAGTATTTTATCCACTTATCTTAAAAAAAATTTCACGGACTTACGATACTAATTCACTCACACTACGATATGCACCCTGATGATGAATTTGTTGTTACAGTGCCACCCCAACGACCACGTATAGAGTACAATGGTACTCAGGTACTACCAGGCCACAACTTGACGACACTGCACGGTGAGGTGGCGGTGATAAAATGCGTCTCACATTACGGAAACCCGCCGCCCGTACTGAAATGGTTTATGGGTAAGTAATTTTTTAATTGCCTATTATCTAGTGTGTATACGCAGTAGTTTCAGTTTATAGCGTTAATATGTTCCGTAAAACGGAAATCCTGTCTGATCACACTCTGTCACACCATGTGAATTGTTCTTCACAGAAATACCCTAGATAAGGTCCACGCATTCTGTGAATTCCAACCTGAAAGTACCATCGTATCACTTCTCATCACACTTAATTATTAACTATACATGGTTCGTCACCCTTACCTAGTTCTTGAATGGGTCAGGTTATAAAATTTAAATTCGAGGTGATAAAATTGATACATGGATGCTATATTCTAACGCAACAATGGGAAATTTTAAGGTATCCGCTGGGCGCAATTTTTTTGATGAAATAAGAGGTTCTTTTAGAGTTACTTACGAGTACTTGCTAATTCTGGAAGATAAAAACACTATCTCTCAAAATGAAGATCCAATGGGCAATCAAAGTAGAGCGTGTTTGTACATTGAATCGCTTATAATTGCACAACCAATCATCAAAACGCTGTAGTGACACTGGCGGCTGGCCCTTAAGTTCTGCAG